TAAATGCGTCGTCAACGAATTGTATATCTGGGCAGCAGGTTTTTAGATCATGTATCCTTGCTACAAACAGGATTGGACCTGTCCCTTGAGATACCCCTCCGTTAAGCTAGACCCAGTGAGATTTACAATGACCACATTTCACTCTCTGATACCTTTAGCATAAAAAGGAATAAGTCCACTTCCTAATAAACTCAGGAACCCCTTGACTGCACAGTTTTCAATTAAGATGCTGTGGTCTATTCTGTGAAATCCCAGCAGGCATAATTGCGTTAGATCAACGTTGAAAACAGGTTGATGCATTGAACTGCCGTTGATCTACCTAAATTCAACGTAAAATCAACGTTGATCTAGCTACGTCGAAACACTGTCATAATGTGACGTTGACTCAACGTTGTATTTTGGTAAATGACAAAACCTTGCAGTTATGGATTGTAATTTAAAATATCTATTATTGAAAATGTGATACTTTGTTTATCAATACTGTTACTAAATTTATCAAAATAATTACAAAAATGGTTTTAAAGTAAAAGTGACAGTTATTTTGTATCTTCGGTTAACTAAAGAATTTTCTTAACTTGTTATTCAGAAATACGTTCCAATAATCTGAATTCCTTTCAAGGTCAGCTAACACTAGGATGAATAAGTTGCTGTAAATGTGATGGAGTTAACAGTTCTTGGTAACCTTTTATATATAGATAGTCTAATTGATGTGACTGTGGCTTTGTTATATATATCAAACACATGATAAACACATCCAGGCTAATTTCCCGCTAGGTGGGGTTGATATAACATTCTGATGTTGATACAACGATGTTTGTAACTGACAAGTAGCTATTTTTAGTAGTGTCTTGACCTTAATTGTAGTATCGGTGTTGATAGTATTTAGTTTTTGCGGGCACGTGTTTGTTAGANACAAAATTGTTTTGATATATGTATGACTGTTGTATGGTAATGGATGTTAAGTTTTGGATTTGTGTTAGAGTTTTGATATTTAATTATAGTTTAAGTAAATTGTGGGATTCACAATTTAAGGGAGCCATGTAACTGACAAGTAGCTATTTTTAGTAGTGTCTTGACCTTAATTGTAGTATCGGTGTTGATAGTATTTAGTTTTTGCGGGCACGTGTTTGTTAGACAAGTCAGATTCTCGCAACGAGTTTCACGTTGATTCAGATGAAAGTTGTTACCAGTTGTTTCTAGATGAAAGTTGATGTAAGTTGACATAAGTTGATGTTAGACAATAAACAGTACCGTTTGTTACCAGTTGATGTTATATATCGTTGACAATTGAATAAAATTGACTGACACCCGCAACAATGTTTTTTGAGGTTGACTCAACTTTCAAATCCAACGTTTATTCAATGTCTTCTCAACGTTATGGTTCAACGTCATTTCATCGTTAAAACAACATAATTTGCCCGCTGGGATGCCTTAGAAAAATCTTAAAATAAAACTTGCGAATAGGGTTTGGTTTTAGCAGATGGTTCAAGACCTAGCATTTTGTGAGTCAACTCTACTAGAGAGTGGGTAGTAGAGCTATTTTTGACTACTCCTAATTGGGACCTTTCGATTTGCAGGCCACCCATCACCCATTTTGCCACAAATGACTCCAGTATTTTACTCAACACTGGTGTAATTGATATTGGCCCAAGATCAGCATCTATCACTTTAGGTTGGTTAACTTTTGGGACAGGGATTACCTTTGCAGATTTCCAAGTGTCAGGTACATATCCCTCTCTGATAGAGCTATTAAAAATTGCGCACAAGGGCTTGGACAGGGAGCCTGCAAAATCTCTGATGACCAAATTTGGAATTTGGTCAGGACCTATAGCCTTTGAGAGTTTAACATCAGAGAGACGTATTTCGACATCATTTACTAATCGTGAATTCATCTGGTACTACATAGTTCTGGTGGACATTTTCAACCGGTGTAAGAGGTGTCAAATTGCTACTAACACTTTGAAAAATTCATTGATCTTTTTTATTAGAACCTGGTAATTACTGGTAATTAATCTGTCCCTCCCATCTCACCTGCTTTTAAGCATACATACGTCAACCAGTGTCAGGCTTTCACAACGTTCATTATACTGGACTTCAGTGTATAACCTTTTTGACAGTTGTTTTTCACTTATCGGAGTGTTCAGGGCTGTTCAGGCGCCAGGCTTCACAGCCAGTGTTGTTAAGGCCGGTGTAACAGTAATTTAAGTCCCCCAGGAACCGAGGTCCTTCGCACCTCGGTTCCTGGTAATGGTTGTCTGTAGGACTAACATTACTTGGGAATAGTAGTCCTACAGGGACTTAGGTTCCTGGCTCATAATTGGAGTAGGTAGGACTTGTATTACTGTCGGACTTTTATTCCTGTTATGACAGTAATAAAAGTCCGGCCATTTGAAAGTCCTGTCCTTAGGCAATAATACTGCTAAATGATAAAACTATAAATGTATATGAAATCCTTCTGGTGAGCCATATATCAGACAAAAAAATGAGAGGTTTGAAACTTCAGCTCGTTTGTGTATTGGTTAGCGTTCAAGACTACAAGGTAAGAATCTATGAATCGTTCCGTCGCATCTATGGGTTCGAGACCTACCTTTGACATTACTTAACCCCCTTCCCACTGTTTATTTCTTGTGGCAATGGTGTTTTTAATGTCTAATATGTGTTCGGAATTCCCTTCTCATTACATTTACAACTTTATTGTTTTGTCTTTTAAGTGTCAAAGCACCAACATTTTTCAATTTCAGCGAGTGTAAAGCGAAAAATAAATCTAAGAACGGGGATCTTGCGTTTTGTGTAAAGTGTTTTTTCTCTTAGAAATAAGGTTTTGAAAAAGAGAGAGAGGGAGAGAAAATAAGAATTTCGACGCAAAACACAAAAGTACACCCCAGTAAAAAAGGACATGAAATAATATACACTGTACATATACCTCAAAGGATGAAAATAAGGGATGCCTTTGGATGGTGCCGTAGGCTGCTTTCCCAGAGATTTAGGTCGATCTAAAGATTAAGATTTAGATCGACCTAACTCCCTGGGGGTTCACGCTAAATTGCAGTCAGTCGAGCGGTCACCATAGTTAATTACCCCCTTACAGTTTTTAGTAGGCGGGACAGACGCTTAAGCCGGCCAAACTGACAGTAATCTAGTGAGACTTCCCACAGGGATAGATCGATCTAAAAATCTATGGAAATGGGGTGTTATTTTGTTCAAATAATATCGGGCAAACCAGACTCATACATATTGTGCACTGAGGGAGGAGTACGCTAAAAATATGCGTTAACACATCAAAATTTTTATAAACTGCCTATCGGAAAACATTGTATAATAATATACCCTGTATAAACATATATAACATATATAACATATATAACATATAAAAGGCCATATAAATAGAATAAAGCGAACGTTTATTTTATCTTTAAAACTAGTATGTCTCTATATCTATTTATTCATATCTTTTCATGGTGTTAACTATATAGGACATGCGTTACTAAAATGTCAGGAACGCACGTCCCATTAGGACGTGCATTACTACACGTAGGACTTACATTACTTGGGAGCCTTTGTCCTACGGACATTTAATCCTAGTAACGTATGTCCTAGGACTTCTATTCCTAGCAATGTATGCCCTAGGACTTGCATTCCCAGGACTTAGTGTCCGGGGGGACTACCGTTTCTAGGACGTGCACTCCTGCCACACCGGGCGTTATAATAACCTAAAATATTTCGTTTGTCTTTAAGATTAGTTTTTATTTAATGGGATGAACCGAAAAACGGCTGCTAACGTTTCATGTGTTTTCCTTTTTAAAATTGATAAGTGTCTTTGATACGATTCAATTAATATATAAGAAGATAAGACTGTTGAATGAAACAGCACTATGTAAACCTTATAAGACCAAGTCGGTGCAATATAAAAGTGAAAAATTCTGGCGTTTCCTTTCGTTTTGAAATATGTTTTAATTGAGGGACCAACATTTCATTATAGAATACAGATATAAGTATGTTATGGACCGTTCAACGAACTTTTTCAGAAAATTTCAAAGTAATTATATGGCTCAAAAAGGAGATACAAAATGAGGTGTAGTCAGGTGAAAGCAGCCACGTTCTCAAGCTGACCTAGTTGCCCGCACAGGGTGTCTGTGGTCTTATCAGAATAGGGGATTTGCAAGCGCGAGATCTAGCATGTGTTAAGCATGATCTAGCATGTGTCAAGCACTGTATATCAGTTAGGCATGGGGAAACATAAACCTGGTTATTAAAGGTTTGTATTGTGACACGGTAAAGGAAGAAAACCCAACAACAACTAACAAACATTTACCATGAAAAGTGTTTTATTTCCTTTGTTTGAAGCCTTTGACTTGGTTTCTCAAATAGAATAACAGTTCAAGACAGTCGTCTTTTGATACTTTTTTTTTCATAGGCCTGGATATTGTCTATGATAAGTCCTGGCCTTGTTCCAGAAGACACCTGTCGTTAAGTGCCTTCACCACCCAGACAACTTCTTCAGCGTTGGTCTGTTGACTTCAACGTTGTCCGCTGCCAAGTGGTACAGATCTTTTGGGTTCTCCCGCCAAATTCTTTCTTTGGGTTCCCATGCTGGCATTAGAATTTGCAACATATTTTCAAGACCCATTTCTAAAAAAAATCATTATCCTTCTATGCTGCTATATCGTCCCACTCTTTTTCAACTATCACACATTTATTCAACAAATTTCAATATATCGTTAGTAAGCTGCACAAATGTTATCCCGTAGTCAATATTACGCAGTCCATTTCCTTATAAAAACTACTGAAAAATCAGCAACATACCGTACTANCTGACACCCGCAACAACCTGTTCTCCAAAACTATTATACCCAAATACACCAGCACTGGATGGTGGAAGAAATACATTGGGTGCAGGTGCACGGTGTCTCAAATTGTGTCTCCAACTACATTACTGAAAACACTGAGAAACTGGCCCATCCAATCAAACAGGGCTATTAAATAAATATATAAGATGATTTTTATAAGATGTATTTTGCCACACTATCTGTTTTCTGCCAGTGATGTGATGTAACTAACCTCTCACACAATTTCTCCCAGGAATTGCCTGAACCAAGTAGAGCATCATACCTGAAAAATATATAATTATCCAATTAATACCAATTATAAATATTGGAAATACATGTTAAGAAGAAAGGAAATAAGGCCAAAAAAAAGGGAGAAAACTTCGAATTAATCTGTAAATATACAGCTTAATAAAAGCAATCCTTTTTAAGCATCTACGTTTTCTATGACACACCTTTTCCGTGTTTGCCAAACTTTTTATTTTTGAGACTTACGAAATCAGTGGTGCATCATGTCCACTAGCTCCTCCCCAGCCAGCAAAACTCCAAGATTTATAGAATTCATCCCTCTCCTTAACCCCATATACTTCAGGAAAAGTGGGATCTGCTGTGCCATCTGTAACTCCTCTCACTCTAAGGTAGTCTTCCCACTTTCTTGTAAAATAACCCCTGAATGAAAATTTATATACATACATGTAGTATTGAAAGACAAGCAACACTTTCACATCACTAAATAAAGAGGCATTCAACAACCGTCATCATAACGTGTAATATGTTACCAGAAAGTCTTACCTATAATCAATACTACATAGAAAATACATTTTTGTTGTATCTTACTTTAAATAAACTGAAAACCCAAATGTTGTGACATATGAGAGTAACTTAAAGAGTTCTAAATGCTTTGCAAGTATACTTATACATTTCTCATTACCAATGTTCTTGGTTTTCTGCCACATCTATTTCTTGTGATTCCACATACTTCAAGGCCTTTGGAAGTACTGACATCAATCCAGCGCCCCAAGAATTCACTGGTTTACCTAAAAGAGTTTCAGTTAAATGCTGTCTCATGATCAGTAAAAACATATCTCTGTACCTAAAAAACTGTAATCAGCAGTTAAATAGGCAATTAATACACTGACCCTCACATCTGAGATGGTCATCCACTAAGACTGTCAATAAATAATAATAATAATAATTCTCACAAATCTTCAGTGATGAAACAATATAAGCACATACGTGCAATTTTCTGAGGGGGATTGGGGAGAGGGATATTACATCACATTTTCAAAAAAGGCAAAAATCAGTTGAAACGAACACAAAGCTGATGATCAATCCATCGATTACAATGACATGATATAACTCACATTGAATGCTATAAGCTGTGAAGAAAGCAGATGCCAGAGAGCCCAGGTATCCTGTAGGATGAGACATAACTCACATTGAATGCTATAAGCTGCGAAGATAGCAGATGTCAGGGAGCCCAGGTATCCTGTAGGATGAGACATAACTCACCTTGAATGCTACAAGCTGTAAAGAGAGCAGATGCCAGAGAGCCCAGGTATCCTGTAGGATGAGACATAACCCACCTTGAATGTTATAAGCTGTGAAGAGAGCAGATGCCAGGGAGCCCAGGTATCCTGTAGGATGAGACATAACTCACCTTGAATGCTATAAGCTGTGAAGAGAGCAGATGCCAGAGAGCCCAGGTATCCTGTAGGATGGTTGTGTGTCATTCGGCCACTTTCTACACTCACTGCTATCAGGTCATCCAGATCCTCAGGTCTATACAAAAGTCAGTATTGGATCACTTATTACACAACCAAGAAGGAAATTTAAAGCCAAGATTAGGCACAAAAACAATATGGAAAATAAAATTTGACAAATACTGGTACTAAAGACGTGTTCTGTACAACTAGCTACAACCTCATATATTACACCATGTAATAATATATGCCTGAAAACCATTATGCCTATGCAAAGACATGTAGTTGTTTTTGTAAATTTAAAAATCGTCACAACTTCATTCAATGACATCCATTTAAGGTGTCCTTAGACTAACTCTTTTTGAGAAATAATGTAGTTTGAACCATAGATATTTTTGTTTGTTTGTTTTTACTTTTAAAACTCAGTGATAACTGACTAGGCATCCTGACTTTTTAAACATTCCATCCTCTAAAAATGAGAATTTAAAGTACACACCTTGGGTATCTAAGTCCAATGCACATTGACCTCATGGCAGCTCCACAGCCTCCTCCCCTGGAATATTGTACATAGAATATAGTATGTCTTTATTATGAATATCTCAGGGGCAGATCCAGAGATATTTGATATTTTCTGAAAGTCTTCCACACTATCTTTGTTGATCATCCTCCATTTTTTGACTGCCCACCCTGGTCACAGCATATGTGTGTGTGTGTGTGTGTGTGTGTGTGTGTGAGAGAGAGAGAGAGAGAGAGAGAGAGAGAGAGGGGACAAAGGGATATCCACATGATGCGCTTAAAATTAATTATTTATAATAATTATATAACCAGCAGTTTAGAGACATATAATGTGAATTATAAGTTTAAAATGTGTAACATCTTGCTAATTTTATAACTAACAAAAATAATTTTTTTTAATTGGTTGTGTGCAAACTCACAAACTCCCAAAGTGTCAGAATGCTAGTATTTACAATGGCTGATAACAGTGATAAGGGTTGTTGATACTGAGTGTAGCCACTGTATAAAGTAGCACACTGGTACTGCCTATGGGTGAGTGTGATGAATGCTTTGTACTTTGTGTTGAAAGGCACTTGATATCCCTTAGGTCTCTCTGGGCGTAGTTGTGAACACGCCTGCATTGTTGTGGGACCTGAAAGTTAAAGAAAAGAACATATTCTTATTCCAAAGAAAAAGCTATGTGAATATTTAGACATTGTTATTGAATCGTATCTTTTTTTAATAAGCAATGGGCCAAAATGACATGCACTTTTCTCAACAAACAAGTGAAGATGTTTTTACATTGTATACAAAAACAGCTCCATGATTCACTTTCAGTATATGTAGTTTACCAGCAGTTATCGGTTTGAACAAATTTGAAATAAAATAACTAGGGAAGAGAACTGAAAAGAAAATGTATATCAATTGGACACATCTTATTTTAAACACTACAAGCATGGTTATTGTCACCACATGGAAAACATTGTGTTACATACTAATTAAAGGTTTGATGTTAATCAGCCCATAAGAAATCTCACAACTGCTGGAAATTCTATTTTCTAAATATGAGAAGTTCATAACTGGTTTACAATGTACCTGCTGCTCTGCCACTCATATCATGCATTCCTTCCTTGTAACTCTTAGCAATATCCAGGTACAAAGCCTCTTTGTCGCCACTTTTACTCTTTCTGGCAAGAGCTGAAATATATCAAAATTATTATTTGCATATTTGTTTAGATGAGATTTTGAAAAACTTGAAGGAAATTATTTTTGAATGTTGAACATTTTAACATATTTTGATTTAGCATTACCATCTTTTTGCACTTCAATCAGCTAATGGCAGACAAACTAAACTGCCATATCTGTACTCAACAAAATAATAAAGAGCCAAAGAGCGACTTGTTTTGGCTATATATTTTACAGTGCACTTAAACTAAAATTAATAAATTAATATGAATGATGCACTTAAAGTTTGCTATACTCACATTCAGCGGTGGCAAGGTGTAAAACTGTGTCATCACTAACTCTCCAGTCAGGCACTAGAATTTAAATGTTCATACCATACACCATATACATGTACATGTACATACCCTAGTATGTAATAATATAACAGCAATGCATATACAATGCTACAAACATATTTACAGGGTACCCATGTCTAATATGTTGATAAATAAAATTAAAACATTCTTGAAACTGCTAGAAGAGGAAAATATAATGACTGTACATATCAACATCCTGGACCGTGTTCTTGATTGAACCAGACAATGACAGAATACTTTCTTTTTGTTCCATATATACTAGTAGTATGTACAACAGTTAAAATGTAGCCCCACAGACAAAATAACTGAACTACTGTAAGTTACCATAGCTAAAATACCAAATTTGACTGAAAAAAAAAAGAGCGAATCATATTTTCTGACAAAGATGACTAGTACATCTAACATTGCAAAATTACATTTTATTTTAAGTTTACTGATCCCTCCTAGCTTCTTCACTTCCTTGTGGATATCTTCACCTACAAAGTTGAATTCAAATTTTCCGTTTTTATATCCCATGGCATCTCCGACACCACTCAATACCATTGATGCCTTGTATCTGTCTAGAAGATGATCTGACATTTTTGCCCTGAAATTATAAAACATTACATAAGCTTTAATACACTTGTCATACTAAACCAGTTCAGTACAATGATGTACATGTACATCTATGTAGTAATTAATCTACCCATGACCAGTACCAGTAAATGAATATATGCACATGGTGTTTTACGTGTTCTTATTACTGGAACATTGCAAAGCTATGGGCAAATGGAAGCATGGAAATAAATAACAAGTCAACACTCAATGATTTGCTGACTGCTGGCAGTGCTGCATACTCTAGTTTCTATATCCCAACAAACGGTACCCCCCCCCCCCCAACTCTCTCTCTCTCTCTTTAAACTTCGCCAGCAAAGCAAGTAAGGGCGCACGTACTCACAGAAATAATACAATCTTCTTCAGTAAAGTGGCCTTTCAATAACTCACAAGTGATATCTAAGTTTACACAGTTTTTGTGAATGCCTCTCGATCATCCCCACGTACGGTACACTGTGGTGGGTGGAAGGGTATCACGTGATACGTCAAAAGATGCGCACGCACGTCAGTCATTTGACGTTTTGCCGTCGAAGAGTGAACATCGAAAGTGAGCTCCCGGCGACGTCTTCCTGCGTCTTCGTCCAGTAACGGTCGCTCAACTGTGCGCGATGTATTGTTTATTGGGATATTTGCGTAACGTTACGCCGACTTTGTTTCAATGAATTTGTATTTAATGTATATAAATATAAATATGGATGCTACAAACTAATAATAAAACACTTGAAAAAATGTGCAATTTATGATCAACAAACCGACGAGTAGAGTTGTAAAACGTCACCGTGGCATAGATATCACATCTCTGTCAGTGTAGGCCTACTGTGCTATATACCTGTAGTGACTGTAGTTTGGGCAGTGTAAAAGTTGCTGGTAGTGTTGATTTTAATTGACTTTAATTTTTCTGTGTATTATTGATAATTTCTTGTTTGAATAAGAATAATAATCAACTCTAGAAATTAAAATAATACATTATGACAAGTTGATAATTCAGATAACTATAAGGAAGGGCATCTGACAAAGTTTTTTTTTTTTTTTTTTTTTTTTTTTGGAAAGTAAGCTTGACCAAAGTTTAAGGCAAAGAAAATGTGAAATGACAAAATTATCAAAAACAATTTTTTATAATTTTTATAAACTTTTTATTTCACATATTTCATAAAAACATAATTAACAGTATATTTTATTTCATACATTTTTCTTATACATTTTATAACTAATTTAAATATTCACAAAATATTAAAATAATATAATACATTTTAATTATTTAAAGGGGTGACAACCTTCATATACATACATACATACATCACAAGCAAGACTGAAGAATTTGGTCTGGATTGAAATAACAGATTACTTTAAATTTGTCTTGGTCAGATTTTAATTTTACCTTGAATTTCAAGTTTGCAAGACATACTTTATTCAGAGTCAGAAATCATGGTAAGTGCATACTATAAGAGACAGAAAATGTATGTATTACCAACAAATCCTCACTTCTGACAGAAATCACAACAGACAAAGTTTTTTCATGACCTGCAGTATTTCATTTTCTCCAAGTTCAAGAGACTTACTTCTCACCTATAATTAATTAATTTGTAGTATAGAGGGCTAACAAATGTAACTGTCACATTGCTCGAATAAATTATAATTATTATTAAAACTTCACTTACAAAAGATGATGGGAATTCTCTTGTATATAATACAATATTTGATATTGTGACAAACTACTAATTTAATATTTGACGACTGAGTAATTAAAAAACAATCATGTTTATTACAATGTCACACTCCATGAAGGCACAGATTTTGGAAATAACAAACATCATTCCTGTTATCTCAAGTCTCTACTTTCAGATTCACTCCATAGGGGGTATCCCATTATGAGGTTATAAGCTGCTTCCATTCTCTGAAATGAAAAACAGTAAATAATTTATTTTTGATGTTACTATTTAATTGGATAAGGCTTCAACTTTCTAGGTTACCTATTAACATTATACTAGAATATGATTTCATTAAATGACTCTAATTTTTATGATAGTAGGATTAAAATGAAAGTTTAGGCAAAACAAATGCAGAACTATTGTAGGAATGTGCTTGTATAGTGATCAGATTGCACAAAATGCTTTAAAATACAGACAAGCATGTAAGTGATATACAAGTGCAATTATGCTATTGTTATAAATGCTGTCTGTGGGATAACCAAAACAGTACTTTGGCATGCAGTACTATACAGCCTATAATTCCCAAGATCCTGGGGTGCCATTGGGTGCCATAGGCACTTTTTGCTAACCAATATCTAAGCAACATTTATAACAATTTTGAAAATAATTGTCCGATTGCTTTTCCAGATATTTGATTTGAAAGACGGGGTCTGCGTGATCCAAAATTCACTCAAACAAAAATGGCCGTAATTTGCTATGTTGTACTGCATTGTCTATATATCCCAAGACCCAGGGGTGCTGTCAGCTGCAGACTATATATTATGTAAAAAGGTACCTGAAAAACGTCGGATTAAGATTTGGAAAAAATCTACCGATTACTTTTTCAGATATATGCTTTTTAATGAGGGAGTTTTGCATTATAAAGACGCATACCTACAAAAATGGTCGTAATTGGGTATGAAGGATTATACCGTCTATAACTCTAAAGATCCAGGGGTGCCATCGGGTGCCATCGGCACTTTTCGTTAACAAATATATGAACAACATTACTGAAAAGTTTGAAAAAAATCGTCCGAGTGATTTTCGAGATATTTCACTTGAAAAAGGCTTGTGGTGTTAAAATTTCAGTTTACAACTGTCAAACTACATATGAAGCTATGCCTAGTTTAAATTGCTATAAAAATATAAAGAGACCACACACTAGAAAATCACTTCATGTGAGTAAAGTTAAGATAACATTGATCGTTGTGACTAGTTAACTGCTTTACAAATACCCACCAAATTTATGTGCACGCCTCCTAAATAAACGATACCCCTCCGGTGCGTCGAACGTGCCATTTTGTTTACCTATAACGGAGTGTAAAATTTCTGCTTTTTTCATTGGCTCCCGAAAATCACGTGATACCCTTCCACCCACCACTGAGTGCTGACCTTCTTGGGAAAACGGAAGTAAACAGCTGTAGTTTTCTACTTCGTCGTTAGGTGGCGCAGCTAATTGATCTTTGCAAGGTAAGACCAATAGTTGTTTTAGGTTCTAATTTTTTTTCCCAAAATTTCCGAAACAAATCAGAAAAATCATCAAAGTTATTGTAACTCTATGCACAGTATCATAGAATTATTTTGAAAGAAAATTTTGGTTTACAGAGCATCAGGGATTTCTAACGTTAGATCTATAATAAAACGATCTAAATTTACTTTTACTATCAATGCCGTTATATTACCTCCTTAAACGGAGGAGGTAATGCTTTTTGTAACCATTAGTAGGTTTGTCTTTGTACAGCACTGCTAAAAAAGTAATGAATGGATTTCGATGAAATTTTCAGGATAGGTCACGAAGGGCTAATGGAAGAAATTATTATATTTTGGTGATGATCTATTAAGAAATAAACAAATTAAATAATTTATAACGAAATTTTCAGGCTTGGCCAGAAATGGATAAAGGAAGAAATCATTATATTTTGGTGATGATTTGTTAATTAATTAATTGTTTGTCTTGGCGAAGGTCGCGCTTTCTGAGTGCTTTTCTAGTTTATTCTATTTTTTCTTGCTAACTTAAAATGCTATGCCCTGTGTAAAATTCATTCACTACTTTCAACCAGAGGCCAGGTGGGTGATGACGTCATTTTCTTTATTTGCCAAAAAATTCTTACTGTATAGTAATGTGTACAGAATAAGCCCAGAGAAATATCTGTGAATAATAGCCTACCACTCTCTTAACATTTTCCTTGTATTAAAACGCAATAAAGAATTCGTTTATGAACAAATAGGGATAATTTTTAAAATAATTCTTCACCTGAATGATTTTTATCTTGATGTAATTTTGAATGGTCACTGCCTCACAAGAATCAAACACATCACATTGCAATAGTAAGATATGTTTTAAGTATATTTATTCTGTTATTCATAGACAGTATTTCCAATTAATCAAGGAGGTAGACTTACGTATCATTTGGCAAGATGAAGTTCATACATATTTTTTGATACACGTAGATAACTAAGGCAAAGGAACCGTTTCTTAGAAGTCAAAAAATAATTAACTGTTTGCTGATCAAGTGACATCTTTATGTACAACTGAATATTCAAACAAGAAAAAACACCAGTTTATCAATTGCAACGTTCTACACAAATATTTCATTTCACTGCCGATTACTTAGAAGATTTGCTTTAGCTGCACTGACACTGGGCGCTTTCATCACGCTTGAAAACAGAGGGATGCGTAATAATCTGACTTCCACCTTCGCCTTATCAAACTCAAAATATTTTTTTCAGAAATTTTAAGTATCATTAAACGTAATACTACACAATTCCTATTGATCAAAATTCAGTGACAAAAGTTGGTATGGAGCATCAACATAATTTATAACAGACTAACAGTGTAGCGTGACTTGAAAATGACTCAGTGTTGGTAACAGGGCTTGGTATATTACCTTGGAATGCTAGGCGTGACTCTACCTAATATCATTAGCTGGCACTTGATGCTTGGATAATTCTAAATGCACGAAACAAATGGTTTCATGGCAATGATAAAACTTTTGGTGACAAAGGGAAACATCTACATCACGCACAACTTAATAAATAAATATTGGTTTATATTACACAACATCTTATAAACAGGTATAAATAATTCAACAATAGGTCGTCTGCTACAGACAAACAGCGATCGACGCTTTTGGAGCATACGCTCATAGCAGATAAAAACTATTAGTGCATAATCTAGGAAACCTCAATGTCTAATTTTAACGGGGACTGCGTTGTTGAACAGAGGGATGATGGGAATTGCAGACACCAAGATCAACATGAAAAAAAAAAGCAACCGAGGCTTAATTAAAGAGGTAGTGCGTGGAATTGTCATTGTCTTACACTTATACATGTATTTCTTTAGGACAGTCTGCGTTGAAAGAGTTAAAATGATCTTTGCCCTAAAATTACACTTTTAAAACTAACAGATGCAAGTAACTTCCCACGTGACATATTCACAGGGGACAAAAGTAGATATCTATATTAAAAGATATCAAAGAGATTGGAGCATCAACATAAGCATCAGCATCGAGTTTGGAGCTCGATAGCTCCACGAGAACACGCTGATCATACATGCATATTTCC